GTAGCTTGTCAAGAAAGTTGGTGGTCGGTGCAACCGTACTATATATGATAAATACTTTGTATAACATTAAAACTTTTAAAAAATACGAGTACGAGGTTAGTAGCTTGTATAAAATATTTAAAAAAAAGACGTGGGTGATTTCTTCCGTGAATTGATTTTCATCCTTGATTGATTAGGTGAAAAGAATAACTTATATTAGAGTTAGTGAATAAAATCGACCAATTGTTAAAAGACAAGGGAGAAAAAAAAAACGGTTTAAAATAAAAAGGAAAAGAAAAACAACCCCACTAAAAAAAGACTCCATACATGTAACTATGCAAGTAGCTAGACTTGATAAGAATTGCTCTTTAGTCCAAAAAGATATGCTTTAATTTGAGCAACTTTAACTAATTTACAGAATGGTGAAAAAAATCTTAGTGGGAGACAATGGTTGATTTGATAATTATTAATTATCCACCTTTCCTTCAAAACAATGACAATATTATTCATGTGTTTTTTTTTTTTTTTTTTACTCTTTCCGTTTCTAGATACAAGTTCGATCTCATATTTATTTTTACACCTGAGATTGGATCAATCCAAACTCGTCCAAACAAAACATGTTATAATGATAAAATGATGGGAACTCGCTTAGTTAGTAAAGTCCCAACTCTTATTATTATTATTTTTTTTATATATATTTTAGAGGTATAATTATAGCACAAAAGACAATAAAATTATTCCACATGACATAGAAAGGAAAAAAAAAAAAACAATACCTTAGTTTTCATGAAAATATTATTTTAATGAAACTAATCTTGTTCTCATACTGCTGCTAATGCACCTTTCGAGCTGGATTTTTGTTTCTACTAAGAAGTTTTGCATAATTACAGACCAATCATCAGATTTAAGATAATACAAAAAAATCATTCACAAAAGATCATGCAACAACTGGCCTTTGATTCCACAATAATGTTGTTCACTCTATCACGTGGCTACTTTGCTACTTCATATTAGCATTACATACAATGTTACTGATCAAATTTAATTTATTAATTCGTATAATATCAATACAATCGCTATAATAATTTGTTCTTTCATAATAATCTTGCATTTCAATAGTAAACAATAACCTGTTAAGAGAAACATGGTCAATGAATATTATCAAGGCAAGCTTCATGTAGTGTTCTTCCCATTTATGGCTCATGGCCATATGATCCCAACACTTGACACCGCGAAGCTCTTTGGAGCTCGCGGTGTCAAGTGTACCATCATCACCACCCCTCTGAACTCCCCCTTCTTCACAAAAGAAATTGAAAAGAGTAAGAAAATTAATGAAGGTCGTTCAATGATAGAAATCGAGGTGTTTAGGTTTCCATCAGTAGAAAATGGGTTGTACAAAGGATGTGAGAATTTGGAGCAAGCCATGATGTCTTTAGACATGGCAGAGAAGTTCATCAAGGCTGCATCGATGCTAAGAGAGCAGCTCGAGCAGTACTTGGAGAAGACGCGGCCACATTGTCTTGTGGCCGACATGTTCTTCCCATGGGCAACCGAGTGTGCAGCTAAGTTCAACATACCTAGGCTTGTATTCCATGGAATTAGCCTCTTTGCACATTGTACTAAAGAGATGGTTATGGTGCACCAGCCTTACAACAATGTCTCTAATGATGATGAGTCGTTTGTTGTTCCTTTTCTTCCCCACGAGATTATGCTAACAAGGTCACAACTTCCTCGAGAGTATTTGGTTGAAGGAGAGCAATCTGAACTCAAGAGAAGGCATAAGAAGATTCAAGAATCGGAAGTCCAATGTTATGGAGTGATTGTCAATAGCTTCTATGAGTTGGAACCTGATTATGCCGACTTCTTTAGGAAGCAATTAGGAAGGAGAGCATGGCATATAGGCCCCGTATCACTATGCAATAAGAGCCAAAAGGATGAGTGTTCCTTGGATGAACATAAGTGCTTAAAATGGCTCAACTCAAAGAGGCCGAATTCAGTGATTTATATATGTTTTGGAAGCTTGGCTCACTTGATAGCGCCTCAATTACAAGAGATTGCAAGGGCTCTAGACGATTTGGATTATGAATTTATTTGGGTTGTGAGGGAAGATAAATATCGAATGAGTGAAGAATGGTTGCCTCAAGGGTTTAAGGAAAGGACTCAAGGAAAAGGTCTAGTAATAGGAGGATGGGTTCCACAAGTGCTAATCTTACAGCATGAAGCAATAGGAGCATTTGTGACTCATTGTGGGTGGAACTCGACACTAGAGGCAATCTCAGCTGGTGTACCTATGGTTACATGGCCTCTTTTCGCTGAGCAATTCTACAACGAAAAATTGGTGAACAATGTTTTAAAGATTGGGGCTCCTGTTGGAGCTAAGAAGTGGCAAGTGGTGCATTTTATAGAAGATCTTGTGAAGCACGAAAACATAGTGAATGCGGTCAGAAAGATAATGGACGGCGATAAGGGTCTAGAATGGAGAAACAAGGCAAGGAAGTTGAAGGAAATGGCAAGAAAGGCTATAGAAGAAAATGGTTCATCATATTGTGATTTAACTTCATTGATAAATGAATTGAGAGATTACCATTTTCAAAAACATGATTAGTATATGGTCTAAAAGTCATAAGACAATAATTATGAAAATTCTATGGAGTGCTAAAAATGTAGATAATGTTAATGACAATTATTATGTTTTTTGGGCTTATGGGTTTCTTCCTATATGGACAAACCCGTTATTTTTTCGGTGTTATTAGGCCCATTTAGAAACCTTAATGACTGATTATGAGGTATTTAGGGTTTTCTTAAGGAGCAAAATCATTAGCTTACTTTTGTTGATTTTATTCCAATTAGCAGTGAGTTTTAGTCATATTTTGATTGTGCTGTTATTGGGATAAAGCATTATACACAGAAAAAAAAAACCTATGTCAATATCTTAGCTAAGCTAATAACTTTTACATGTGTCGTTGATTAATCTCGGATATTAACATAAACAAATTTCATGTGTCGTTGTACTGGTTGTCTACACCAATAGTCCAATACTTCACTAAGACAATGTCCCTTTCTTGCCAAAACCCACGTAAAAAGTTTCTTGTTTTTTAATCACAGAACCAATTAGAAGGCAATAACATTTATATAGATATGTTATTGATGTTTTCAATACAAGCCATGTGTAGCTTTCCCAATAATAATACTCCATTAATTGCTGACCACTTATCAATTTATTCTAGACTCAAAGTAATACAAGAACATGATATATTGATATGTTACATAAAAGATTATGCTTCTTGCCTATACTACTGAAACCATTATTGAAATCTAGGCTATCTAGCAATTTAACCATTTAGTTTACCTGATCTATTTTTTGATTTTCTCATAAAAAATGGCTAACGATGAACCTCAACAACTCCATGTAGTTTTCTTCCCATTCATGGCATATGGTCACATGAACCCCACCATAGATATCGCGAACCTCTTTGCAGCTCGAGGTGTCAAGGCAACCATCATCACCACACCTCATAACCTATCAATCTTCACCAAAGCCATTGAAAAGAGAAAACAAGTCGGATCACCTATGATTCATGTTGAGCTCTTCGAATTCCCAACAACACAATGTGGTTTGCCTGAAGGGTGTGAGAACGTAACTCAAGCCATACCAATAGGCATGGTCTCGAACTTCATGAAGGCAGTCAAGATGCTAGAGGTGCAGCTCGAACAATACTTGGAGAATGTTCGACCAAGCTGTCTAGTGTCTGATATGTTCTTACCATGGACTACTGAATGTGCAGCAAAGTTCGGTGTCCCTAGAGTGGTGTTCCATGGGACTTGCTACTTTGCTCTTTGTGTTCAGGAAGTTGTTAGGCTACATAAGCCTTATTTGAACGTTTCGTCTGATGAAGAACCATTCATCCTTCCTTCTCTACCCCATGAGATAAAGATCACAAAATTGCAAATTCAAGAGGATTTAAGGAAAGAGGAGCAAAGTGATGCCAAAACAGAATTCGATTTGATCAAAGAATCAGAACTCAAGAGTTTTGGTGTAATTGTTAACAGCTTTTACGAGTTGGAACCTGATTATGCAGACTACTTCAGTAAGGAATTAGGAAGGAGGGCATGGCATATTGGCCCTGCTTCGCTCTGCAATAGGAGCATTGAGGACAAAGCAGCGCGAAGAGGAAATAATCAAGTTTCGATAGATGAACACGAGTGCTTACAATGGCTCAACTCTAAGCAACAGGATTCAGTCATTTACATGTGTTTCGGAAGCATGACTCAATTTTCAGTACCTCAGTTGCATAAAATTGCAGTAGCTTTAGAAGCTTCTGAACAAAAACTTCTTTGGTTTGTAAAGAATGATGAGGACTTAAAGAGTGAAGAGTGGCTGCCACCAGGATATAAACAAAGGATGGAAGGCAAAGGCCTAATACTAAAAGGTTGGGCACCACAGCTGCTCATCTTAGAGCATGAAGCCGTAGGAGCATTCGTGACTCATTGTGGGTGGAACTCGATCCTAGAAGGCATCACTGCTGGTGTGCCTATGATTACATGGCCTGGTTTCGCTGAACAATTCTACAACGAAAAATTAGTGACCGAGGTATTAAAGACCGGGGTCCCTATTGGAGCTAAGAAATGTCGTTGGGATCCTTACATCGATGATTTGGTTAATTAGGACACGATAGAGAAGGCATTGAGAGACATAATGGAGGGAGATGAGGCGCAACAGAGGAGATACAGGGCAAAGGAGCTGAAGGAGTTGGGACTAAAGGCTGTTGAAGAAGATGGTTCATCATATTCGAATTTAGGTGCATTTATCAATGAATTAAGGCATTATCATGCTTAAATGCATGATTAATTTAGTCAATCAGTATAGTTCTTAACATCTTCAGACTCCTAAATTTTCTTGCTTGTAACATTATCAGGACCATTTTTTAGAAAGAAAAAAAAATTATCACTCTTTTACTTGTCGCTTTCTAATACAACAAGGGGTCTGATAAAATATATGCTATGAATATACTTGTATTCTACTGTCTTGTTCATACCAACTTTCTACAAATGTCTCATAAATGCTTGAACCTTCAGCCACAAGAAGATTGAAGATTGTCTTCCGAATGGATACGCAACTTGTGGACCTCCATACCGCATACGTCAAATTTTAGTCTAATTAATAAGACAACTATGCTAGTACCTATTGTGCTCCCTAATAATAGTCACGTATATTACTTTAAGATGTCCAAAATATTAGCAACGACTAAGCTTATAAATTTGTTGTAAGAAGATGATAAAGCTATTTATGTCTCTCTATACAGGATTAAAATATAAAATTAGCGTAGATTAATTTGATTCTAGCCAACGGTAAAACCATAGGTGCTTGTTTGGGTCCAATTTAGTCAAAATTGGGCCTAAGCACTAAATGATCCAATTAAAAGCCCAAGGTCAAGGTTCAACTCTCCAATTGCACAAAAGTCAAAGGTCAGCCCACAAAGTAAGCCAATTGGGCTAAAGCCCAACCTCTCCATGTATGATGAGGTATAAAAGCCATCATATTGACACATTGATATGGGGGACGTTCAGATTCATATGCTCATTCTTGCATTCAGAAATATTCCACAAAAGCCTCAAGCTACAAACTCTCTTGCATGGTGTCTTCCTTTTACACATTGTACTGACTTTAGCATCGGAGGGGCCTTCCTCGGAAACACCCCCGAGGCTAGTTTACGTGTGTTCACTGTGCAGGAAACCTTCGGCCCAACACAACTTGGATCGAATCCAGTCTTCTCCATTTCAGCGGACCTTCGGCAAGGTCCCATTGTTTTCAACCGAAACAATTTGGCGCCGTCTGTGGGGAAGACTTTCAAAAATCTTTAAGCCAAATTCCTAACCAAGATCATCTTGCAATTATCTTAGCAGCCATGGCTAAGAACCGCAAGAGCAAAAGCCTCCGTCAAGGAGCGGGCGAAAAGCCTAAAACCCCTACACTATCGCCCTCGCCGGACCGGAACTCTCCCAAGGGTGCCGTCTCGGGGGGAGGATCATACAAGGAGGATTCCCTATCTCCCGTAATTCATGACTCTCATTATAGGTCGGGCCACTCTCGGTCTAGCAGGGGTGAGTCCGATCATAGGACATATTCAGTGTCCCAAAGCCAACCATCGGCTGCGCGCCCTCATTCCCACACTCGGCCGAGGACCCCTTTGACGGGGCCCAGCTCGGAAGAGGTGGCAAGAGCGCTGGCAGTACTCATGGAGGCGATGAGGGCACAAAATATGCCACCACCTCGTGATCGAACTCCTCCGCATACCCGGCATCAGCGGAGGAAGTTAGACCATGATGGTGGGAAGAGCGCTAGTTCACCATTCGAGCAATGGATACTGGAAGAGCGCGTACCCATGGTTAAAATACCGTCGCATATCACATATGACGGGACCACGGATCCGAAGGACCACGTGGCCTCGTATGAGACTCATATGCATCTTTGCCCCAGATCCGAGGCGACTTGGTGCAAATATTTCCCAACCACTCTCAAGGGGGTCGCGCAAGCGTGGATCTCCAAGGGAGTAAGGCAAGGCTCCATAACAGGTTGGGATGATCTGTCCTCCAAGTTCAGGAGCAAGTTTTCCACGGCAAACCGCCGAGAGAAGACTACCGCAGAGCTCATGAGTCTGCAACAGGGGGAAACCGAAAGCCTCCGAGACTACCTGACCCGTTTCAGTAACGAGTCATCAAGCGTCTCCCAGCTGGACCAGGGGCTAGCTGTTTTTGCAATGCAGAATGGCCTTCAGCCAGGAAAATTCCTAGACTTCATGGTCATGCATACCCCGCAGACCTTGGAGGAAGCTCTTAGTGCTTCGGATAAGTTCATCCGAGCCGAAGAATGGAATAAAGCAAAAACCCAACCTCAATCCGGGGGAGGGAAACAGAGGCAAATACCCTTGTCTGAAGGCCAAGGCCATAAGGCAAAGGGAAAATCAAAGGCTCCGGAGCCATCTTTGGCCAACGACCTAAAGAAGGACAGGTTTGCCTCATACACAGGCAGATATGAGTCCTACACTCCGCTCTCTCTTCCACGCGCCAAAATTTACAGTGTGACGAAGGAGGAGCAGAGTTACCGAAAGCCGAGACCACTCCCAGAGTGGTATCAGCGAAAAAATAAAAATCAGTGGTGTGAGTTCCACGAGTCTTCGGGCCACAACACTGAGGAGTGTATCCAGCTGAAGGACCAGATAGAGGACATGGTCCGGAAGGGATACTTGAAAAAATACATCGCGGATCACCGCGAGAAAAAAGAATCCGAGAGGCTAGCAAAGGACCCTCGGCAGGACCTCGATTTCCCCCGGAAAAACAGTAAAAAACCGGAGGGGAAATTCCCTCCGATCAATGTTATCTCGGGAGGAATATTCTCTCGGAGGGAGCACAAGCGTCACCTTAGAGCTTTGACTCACCAGGTGAACAACGCTGACATTCAATCTCCCCAGTCGCCGGTGCCGAACATGACGTTCACAGCCGCCGACTGCCGGGGGATTACGTTCCCTCACGAGGATCCGTTGGTGATCATCGCCACGGTGGCCAACCACGACGTCAGTAAGGTCCTTGTTGACGGTGGCAGCGGAGCAAACATTCTGTTCCGAAAGGCCTACAACCAAATTAAGCTGAAGCCCAAGCACCTTACGCCGGTACCCTATCCGGTATCCGGGTTCAATGGGGCTTCAACTTATCCAGATGGGAAGGTGACACTTCCTGTCACCATCGGTTGCGATGAGGCAGCCCGGAACGTCATGATTGAGTTTTTGGTCATCGACGCTCCTTCAGTGTACAACGTGATTTTGGGGAGACCCATAATTCACGAGATCCAAGGGGTCGTCTCAACTTATCATCAGCTGATGATTTACGTCTCAGACGCCGGCTTCCCCGAAAGGATACAGGGCAACCAAAAGGACGCCCGAAGGTGAAACTACCTCAAGCCATCCAATAGTCGCCCAGATGACGACAAGGATGAGGAGGAGAAAGAAAAAGAAAGAGAGCCAAGCGCAAAAAAGCCGAAAGGCCTAAGTGCTTCGGCCCAAGGATCCGTGCCCAGAGAAAAAGGTCCCGAAAGGGAAAAGGTTGACTCTTCAGCTGAGCCGCAAGACTCAGAGAGCCAGCCGAAGAACACAAAGACTGGGACACCTGCTGACATTGGCAGCAGACCAGATTCTGAAGAGTCCAGTCCATCGGCAATGGACATGGACCAACAGACTGAAACAGTTGAGTTGGCCGAAGGAGATGCTGAGAAATGTGTAACAATCGGGATGGACCTTGATCCTAACACCCGTTGTGAACTTATTCAGCTCCTTCGGGATAACAGAGATGTGTTTGCTTTCTCGGCAGCTGATATGCCCGGGATAAGTTCAGACCTCATCTCCCATAAGCTTAATGTTGACCCAGCGTGTCGACCAGTTAAGCAAAAGAAGCGGAATTACTCCGCCAATAAGAACCGAGACATCGCAGCCGAAGTCAAAAAATTATTGGAGGCAGGGTTCATTGAACCTTGCCAATATCCGGAATGGCTGGCAAATGTGGTGATGGTTCAGAAGCCCAATGGTACCTGGAGGATGTGCGTTGACTTCACGGACCTAAATAAGGCTTGTCCAAAGGATTTCTATCCCTTGCCAAGAATCGATCAGCTAGTCGATTCGACAAGTGGCCATGCCTTGCTTAGTTTCATGGACGCATTCTCGGGGTATCATCAGATCTTTATGCACCCCGACGATCGAGCCAAGACAGCATTCGTCACGAACGCTGGGGTGTATAATTACAAAATGATGCCCTTCGGATTGAAAAATGCGGGGGCAACCTATCAAAGGCTGGTGGATCAAGTTTTCGCCGATCAAAAGGGCCGAAACATGGAAGTCTATGTTGACGATTCGATCGTCAAAAGCAGAAAACTAGAGGACCATGTAAAGGACCTGGCTGAAACTTTCGCCACCTTGAGAAAGCATCAAATGAAGCTGAATCCGAAGAAGTGTGTCTTCGGCGTGAAGTCAGGGAAATTCCTGGGTTTCATGGTCAGCAAAAGGGGGATTGATGCCAATCCCTCTAAAGTCAAAGCGGCGCTCGACCTTCCTGAGCCGAAAACGAAGCGGGATGTTCAGCGGCTCACCGGAAGAATGGCAGCCCTCTCGAGGTTCATTTCCAGAGCTTCGGATAAGGGGTTACCCTTCTTCAAAGCCCTGAAACTCCCGAAAACAAAAGAGCTTGTTTGGGAGGAAGAGCAAAAAGACGCCTTTCAACAGCTTCGGGAGCATCTGGCTCAACTCCCAACGCTGGCTAGCCCAGTTGAAGGAGAAACTCTATACCTATATGTGGCCGTTAGCCCGGCCACCATCAGCGCAGTATTGCTGAGGGAAGAGAGTAAGAGTCAGCAACCGATTTATTTCGTCAGTCATACACTGACGGATGCCGAGACCCGCTATCCTCTACTCGAGAAAGTTGCTTTCGCGGTAGTAGTAGCTGCTCGGAAGCTGAGGCCCTATTTTGATTGCCATCAGATAGTGGTCTTAACTGATCAGCCATTGGAAAAAGTTCTTGGCAAGGTTGAAAAATCCGGTAGGCTAGCCAAGTGGGCTTTTGAGCTCACCGAATTCAGCATCAGCTACCGTCCGAGGGCTGCCATTAAGGCTCAAGCCCTGGCGGATTTCTTGGCCGAATGCTCATACCAAGAAGTGCTGGACAGTGAAAAGAAAGTCTGGACCGTGTTTACGGATGGGTCTTCCACCGAAAACGGTTCGGGGGCAGGAGTAGTGATAACTTCTCCCGAAGGCAAATCCTTTGAGTATGCACTAAAATTTTCTTTTAAGGCCTCGAACAATGAAGCCGAATATGAGGCAGCAATCGCCGGCCTACAATTATGCATCTCCTTGGAAGCCGATCATGTCTGCTTAAAAACAGACTCTCAGCTAGTTGCATATCAGATCAGTGGCAGCTATGAGGCCAAAGAGCCCTCCATGATAGCTTATCTTGCCAAGATCAAATCAGTCATTGCAGAGCT